TAAGCATCCTGCTGGGAGTCCCTTTCCAGACTTGGGGTACAGATGAGGAGAATGGCTCCCCTTCCTGGAATGGACTGTTGCATCCATCTCTTCCTGGGAAGCCCATGCCCAAGCCCCAGATTCTGCAGTCTGGGGTTAAGTCTACACAGGTCTGGCCCCTTGTTATAGGGACCAAGGCTCTGACCTGCCCTTCCTGAAGAACCCAGGAAGCCCTCTGCTCTAAATTTGTTAAAGTCAGAGAGTCTACTTTTCCTTGGGGGCTACAAAGGCAGGCACAACTCCAAGCCAAGGCTGGACTTCCTATGAGCATCTTGGCTTCCTTAGCTTCAGGGAGGTCTCTAAGAACACAGGAGCCTCTGGAGGTCCTGGTGGGACAGCCCTGCCAGGTAAGGGGTGCTCAAAAAAGTCCACCCAACTGTGCCCTGGCACAGCCCATCCTGCCAGGTGAATGCTGTGCCATGGAACGAGTGTAGAGGGGGATGCAGAGGAAGATCCTGAGCGCCTGGCCACCCCAGCACAGCCTTCCTAGGACCCTCTGCCAGTTGCTCGGTAGCCCTCATGCCTGACTGCACACTAGAGTCCCCTGGGGATCGCTGTAAAGAATTCCAATGCAGGGCCCCTGCCCAGGCCAGCTGATGCCAAACCGCTGGGGTGGGCCCCGCATGGGCATGTACTACAAACTCTTCAGGAGAGTCTAATGTGCAGCCAGCAAGGAGCCCCAACTGGGAGTGCCTGGAGGGCCAGGCCCTCCCTGAGTCCCCAGAGCATGCAGGAGAGGGCAAGTTTGCTGGGACCATACCAGGTACTCCGTAAAGGGGAAAAAGAGGTGGAGAAAGAAAAAGCAACAGAAAAGCAGGGCTGGAAATGACCATGTCTTTCCATTCATTACTCCCGCTTCATTGTACAAATAGTTATCAAGCACCTGGTGTGTAGGAACACAGCAGCAAACAAGGCCCCATGCTCACAGAAGCACCATTCTACTAGGGGAGACAAAAAAATAAATACACAATAAGAAAAGTGCCAGAGTCCTATGTGCTTCTGTAGACAATTAAAACAGGGTGATGTGATGAGAATGACAGGGGCTACTTGGTCGAGTGGACAAGAAAGGCCTCTTGGAAGCTGACTTTTAAGCTCTGATCTGAAGGACAAGAAGACTCACTTGTGCCGAGCTGGGGGGAAAAGCAGTCCAGCTAGGGCAAAGCCCCCAAGGCTGGACCCACCTTTGAGTGTTCAAGGAAAGAAAAGCCACAGGTACATCATGGTGGGAGGTGGAGGAGAGGTGAGGCGGGTGGAGGCCACATTGCGCAGACTTCGTGAGGAGCATAGCGAGTGTGGATTGTGTCCCAAGGGCAATGGGAAGTGGCATCCTTATCAACATTTAACAAGTGCCCTCGGGCTTCTATGTGGGGTGAGGCCAAAGCAGGAAGCTCAGCAAGGAGGCGACCAGTGATCCAGGACAGATGAGGTAGCTGGCACGAAAGTGCTGTCGCAGAGGAAGTGAGGAGTGGTCAACACTGGATTTGCTGATGGACTAGAGGTACAGTGTAAGGAAAGAAAGGAGCCAGAGGCAGCTCCAACCTGTCTATTGCAAGCATCTGGAAAGATGGGGTTGTCATCAGCTGAGGTGGGGAAGGCTAGGGGCAGAGTGGGTGGAGCCCTGATCCTGCCTGATTGGTTAAGATGGGAATGACCTAGGAGACCCACTAGTTCTACCCTCTTGCTTTATAGGAGAGGACATGAAATGAGTGCCGAGAAGGGGGAGAGACTTATTTGGGCCACACATCTGGTCCCTGGTCAAGCGCCATTCTTTCCTGGGTCCTCCCCTGGCCCTCTCTCACTGTTCTTTCTCTCAGCCCACACTCTCTGGGGCTTTGAAGACAGCACAGGACTTGAAGAGTTGAAGAGGAAACAGGGTGAGAGCAGGACACTCTGCTGTCAGAGAGGAGGAATGTTCTTTCCACACTAGTAAGAGAAGGAGAGGGCCCAACAGCATGCTGCTTCAGAGTGGCACAGTCTGGGTGACACCCAGGTCTGGGGTGTGCGGTGGCAAGGAAAGGAAGGTCACGTAACCAAGGGTATTGAGGAACTCTGAGGCTGGAGCATTGGGAAAGAAGACCCTGTTTGTGTACTGGGGTCATCAGGACACCAGCAGGACTTGACTTGGGGTGGAGAGAAAGGCTGGTTCCCTGTGAGCCGTGAGCTCCTCAAGGCCACGACCACAACCAGGCCCTTCAGGATGCCATCACCACCCGGCCATGAGGTGTTGCCCACAGAAGGTGTGCTATCAAGGCTCACAGACTGAAGCGCCTGTCCAAAGTCTCTAGAGAAATAGCCCAGAAGCCTAGTTCCTGATTACTAGGCTAGACCTGTTCCCCCGCACTCCACTGCCTCAGAAAAAGCCTGACTAGAGAACAGCGGAAGGACATGACAAGATGAAGCAGAACCCAGTTCAATGTTCAACACGTTTGGTCCCTGGGCCACTGTGAGTAAAAGACACGAGGCCCTGCACTTGCCCAGCTAAGTGATCACTGGGTGAAAGCTGGGAGGATGGGTGGGCAGGGCCTCGGCGGCATCTCACATGGCAAGGCTGCTTATCTAGAGCTCACTGAAAGGAACGTGGAGTTGTGTGCATCCCCTTCACTTCTTTTTGTATCCTGTTTTTATTATGAAATATCTCAGGCATACAGCAAAGTCCAGAGAGCAACATAACACATGTACTCAACTCCCAGGAGTTAACTAAAGCAACATTTTGCCAGATTTGAGACAGGTTTGAGCTTTCCTCTTTCTTTCCTTTTTGTTTTTTAAGAAATCACACATCCTAGGTAGTTAAAGCCCTTCCCTATCCTGTTTCCTCCCTGCTTCCCCTGAGGCCACTGCTAATCTGGGGTTGGTGTTACTCCCCACGTGCACATGTGTACACTTCTGCTGCTTTCACGTTCTTCCTTGCGCCTTACATCTTATTACACGCTTGCTTATTTCTTTACAGTCTGTCTCCCTCTCGAGAATGTCAGCTCTGTGAGGGCGTGGGCTGTGTTTTGTTCACTGTTGCCTCCCAGGGGCCTACAATGGTACCCTATACAGAGCAGAGAACCAATGAAGTCGGCACTTGTTGACTGAAAAACACACATATTTTTGGTGTGTTTATAAATTTGATAGTTTCTGCCTTAGATGTCTCAATTCTGAAGCCAGTTTTTCCTCCACTAGCACCATGTTTGAGATTCAATCACATAGTTCAACCTTCCAGTCTTCTACTGTATGACCCCCCCACCTGCTAACCAATGACCCTTCTCTTTCTCTCAAGGAGGAGGAGGATCAAAAAAGGGGCTACTCAGCAAACGGAAGACGGCCTGGAAATTGAAACCCAGGGCTCTAGCCAGTAACTGGGAACATAAGAACAAACCAGAAGAAAACCAAAGGGTCTAAGCAGTTACCACAGAATAGGGGAAACTGTGCAGGTACCCACCCCAAAATCACTCAAGTCTGGGGTCACTTGGCAAAGGAGCAACTACTTGCCTTCATCTCTCTGTCACCAGCAAGGGCTCCTGAAGTACTGTGTGGCTAAGCCTGGCGCTGGGAGGGTCTGCGAGGGCCCTGGCTCCACCAGCCTCTCAGCACAGAGCTGTTGCCATCTCTGAGCTTAAGTCAGGTGGCAAGGCCCCCCCAAGGCTGCTGTGAAGATGGTGTGAAAGCACTCTGTAAACTGTGAAGTCCCACACACACGGACTAGAAGAAGTCTCATCTCATTTGAGATCATCTCCTGACTAAAAAGGCAAAGGACCTGTACTTGGGGAGGACTCCACTCATACGGTTGAAGGCTATGGAGTTAGAAGGGCCTGCTCCAGCACTGCAAACCAGCTTCCTCTGCAAAGCACTCCCTCCCCTCTGGCTGCAGCTCCTCAGAGCACAGCCCACCAAGGACAGACTTTCTCGGAGTATCAGAATCTACTCCTTCAAGAAAGCCGGTGCCTACACAGGCCTTGCACCCGTAGGAAACTGCTCAGAGCAGACGAAATCAAGGCTACCTTTCTGTAAAGACATGTCTGATCCCAGGCAGAGATCTCCAGCTACCCTTGTGGCCCTAGCTCAGGGCCAGACATGGGAGGAGGGGCAAGAGGCTCCTGGAAGCTTCCAGCATGGAAGTACTAGTCAGACATAAATGCTCTACCCAGCTCACAAACATCACAGCACAGCCTCTTCCCACCCCCTATACTAGTTCTACAAAGGTTTCCCAGGCATTTTCAATACAAAGCCATATCCAAAGCTCCAAGGAGGTCCTAGCCCTCAAGGCCAGCAGGGGAGACTACATGCATGAGCCCCAAGAGAGAAATGCCCAAGCCCCTCGCTGATGCTATGTTTTGGAAACTTAAGCTGACTCAACCACATGACAGCATTTGGCAATAAAAGATAATCCTCTAAATGAACTCTTGTGGGGAGTGAAGTGAGGGTGGTGAGGAGAGCAGAGACAGAGAAAGAAGAGGAAGCCTTGGAACTGAAGTCTACATGAAGACCTACCTGTTAAAGGGGAAGAAGAAACAATGGAATTCCAAGCTGTGAGCACAGTGTGAACAGACGAACACCGTTAAGGAAATACTGAGTGGCCAAGGGTGGCTTAAGAGAAACGAGAGGAGGCTGGATGAGGTTGGACTGCCCAGGCAGGGCCTTCCTCATACACCCAGGAAAGAATCTGGACCTGATTTTGGAGACCCGGCAGAACCACATCACAAAGGTGTCTGAGAAGAGTGACAAGACATGACCTGAGGGTCAGAACAAAAATGGTGCCCAAGTGAGAGTTGGATGGCAAGTGGGGAAAAGGATACAGGGAAGGCTCCAAGAGTGAGAAGTTGAGATCTTCAGGTCCGAACAGGCAGCCGTGGGGTGAAGAGGAAGAGCCGGGTAGAGACTCTGAACACAGAGCTGGGAGGACGAAGAGATCAGCAGGTGTGGGAGGGGACAGCTCGGCAGGCAGAACGCTGCAGGCTCACTCACATAACAGGCCTTACCTGTGCTTCTCGCCTTCCTCCTCCTCTTCTCTGAGCTGCTTGGTATTTGGCTCCCCATCTTCCTTGTCCTGCAAAGGAAGAAAGGAAACCACTCACTCAGATGAACGCTCCTTCATTAATTAGGCTCTGGGGGCTAATGAAGAACAGGACATCTTAGGAGCCAGGCATCCTGACAAGGCCCACCTTGGTGTTCCTGCCTCTATGCTGGGCATGTGACTGCTGCATCCGATGGGCACTACAGTGAAGCCTCACTCCCCACCTCTCCCTGCCCTGGCAGAATTAAAAAACCCACAACCCCAACCCAGCCCAGCCCCAGGCACACAGTGGCCCTCAGAGAACGCTAGTGGGAGCTGGTCTGTGCCATGGAAGGCCCACAATGGCAGGTCACCGGCCAGGGCCGGCCACTGAACTGAGAGAGATTGGGGAAAAGACGCACCAGCAAGCAGGGCAGGACAAGAGCTCAGACCTCCTAAATCTCTCCCAGGCCAGAGGCCTCTCTGGGAAACACCTATTTGGTTCCACTTAGGGGTAACATAACTCAAACTAGGACCAGGCTTGTAACAAGACTCACTGCCCGGGCCTGTGAGGGAGGGGGCATGGGAAAGGAGAATTAGTTTCAAATTTGTATAGGAAGAATTTCTTCTGAATCTGGTTCTCCCCACCCTGACCCCACCCCACCTCTTTTTAAGTCCAGAGACGCCATGACCATCTCAACCTTGACAGAGTACGCTTGTTCTCCAGTCCCTGAGAGGGCTGCAAAAGAAGGAAATGCCCAGGCTGCTTCCAACTGTAGCAGAAAATGTGTTCCTGGGCTTTCTCCCCTACTACGCAATTACCGCTGTTTGTGCGTGCTCGATGTGTGGAAACACGCCTCGGGTTAGCAGATGCCCCAGCGCACCAAGAGTTGGACCGAGTGGCTCCAGAACAGAGACCTGCCGAGAGGCTCCAGAACAGAGACCTGCTATGGGCGTCTACAGCCAAACTGACCCTCCAGAGGTGCTTGATGCACACTTCATTCCTGGTGGTGACCTGCCACACGCTCTCTCACTGGTGCAGTGTTCTGAGAAAACATCTGGAAGCTCCTTCCATAGGGAGCCTGCTGTGATGGATCTAAGAACAAGCTGGAGTGTTTAACTACCTGGGCTAGCTCTCCTAGAAGTCTGTTTATGCCAGCTGCCTCCCAAGAGCAGCATTTGCTTTATGAGCCACTGCCTGCCAGTGTTCACAGTGAATGCAGACCCTGTGCTGAACGGAGATCACCAAAACCAGGCTGGAGCCCTCGCCCAGAAAAAGGGTTTCACAATGTGAGCAGGTCGGCTCAATCTCATGGAGGTGAGGCAGAAGGAACAAAACAACCAAGCAAGTGCTGCGGCTACAAGAGAGGTCAACACGGTTCTGGGGGGACAGGGGAGAGGAGAGAGGGACGAGAGGGACTTCCTTCTGAAGGACAGGTAGAATTTGGGTGTTACAGGATGGGGAGACAGGAGTAGGAAGGGCGTTCCCAGTAGGGAGCAGAGCTTGAGCCTGGCAGGGGTGCATTCTGAAGAACACACAGCTGTTTGGAGTAGCAGGCAGGATGAAGGAGAATATGGGGTGAGGCTGTTAAGGGAGGTGAGGGTCAATCACAGAGGGCTCTGGCCAGTGTTCTGAGGCACGGAGAGCCAGAGGAGAGACTGGGGAGCTGCTGGAGCAAGGACCAGAGCTTGCTGACCTCTACTGGGCAGGGTGAGTCCAGGGGCAGAGAGGCATACAATTGGTGATGGCCAAAGAAGGAAGGAAGAGCAGAATAACAACTCTTACCGGAGAAATGAGTTAGGTTAAACTGCTCCCAGGCTGCACCCTTCCTTGACTAAATGTTAACCAGTGAAGCAATCAGGAAGTCTGGACATTCAAATAAAAAGTTCCCTCCCAAATGCCAGCCAGCAGACCCAGTGCTGGCCAGAGATGCCTGGCTAGGGGAATGTGGTTGGAGAGCAGAAAGGGGGCAGCTTGCCCAGAAGAGGCCCCCACTCCCACAGGAAGGCTTCTTTCCTAGGGGCTCTACTAACTTGGACCACCTAACAGAAAAGCAAGGGAATAGCTGGGAGGAACAGGGATCAGCCTCTGGGAATAGCTGGGAGGAACAGGGATCAGCCTCTGGGAGCAAGTCCTTTGCAAATACCATGCCCCTTCCCAGCCCTTAAGCAAGGTCAAACACAGCCACTGCTGCTGCCATGGCTACCACCACACCTTCACCCTTCTGGAGTCCCAGAGACACTTAAGTGCCTCGGCGAAGGCCAAGTTATTCATTAATAAGTGAGAAAACACCCAACTATCCAAACAACATTTTAAAAAATGCCCAGCAGTCTGGTGGGTGGGGAACAGCATTAGCTCTGCAGACAGCATGAGGTTAAGGATGACCCCAGCCTGGGACACTGTACAAACAGCAGCAGCTCAAGAAAGAGAAAGCTATATGACTGTAGAGTGAGGGTATGTGGTGTACCCAGTCTTCCCACTATACAGGGAGTCACAGACAGGATAATGAGCATCCATGAGAAGGAAACAGCCGTTGGGTGACCCTAGCCTAGATCACAAGGTGGGAAGTGGCATGGAACCCCACTGCCTGGGATGGAGGAAGGAGGCGCAGACCAGCCTCGTGGCCCAATCCAGTCTGAGAAACTCAAAGAACCTCAGAACTGGAGGGCTGGCAGGCTCGCTGCATTCTAGGCCCTCAGGTGAACCCCGGGGGAGACCTGGGAAATGGCATTCGAGGAAAGGAGATTGGTCAAGGTCACTCAACCTGTCAGTGGGGACTGCAGGATGGGATCATGGGCCTCCTGGTCCCCGCCTGCATGCTCGCCAAGGAGACAAGAGATAGCATATCCAGAGTGGCACTGAGTTTCTAGAACCAGCTCTGATCATAGCCACCTTTCTGCGCTCCCCACACGGCTCAGATCTGGCGCTAAGCCCTGGTGGAGATATTCAGCAAGAGCTCAGGAAAGCCCTAGGGGCATCACAACCCCAGAGAATCTAGACACTTCGCCCAGCCTGAGAACCTGAAATCAGTCTCACTGCCTAACCCTTCCCTACACACATACCTTTCTCCCTCCTTCCCAATTCTGACTCTTATCACTTCCTCCTCTCCTCTGCCACCTCCCTAAGCCCCACCACAACTGAGCCCCCTCCACCCCTCTACTCTGGAGAATGAAGCTGCCTCCTGCCAGGCACCTTTCCCCCTTTCTCCAACCCACCTCCTCTAAGTCTCCCTCCACTTTATCCATCCATATTGCTGGCTGTCCCTCTGCTCAAGGCTCTCACTGGCTCCCCACACCCCCAGGACAACAGCCAGCATCCTCAACACCCCTCCCCTCCAGAGGTCACTCTCCCAAGGCCCCAGCATCCACCCTACATTCCAGTTCACAATGGCCCCTACCCAGACACCTTGACACCCAACCCTTTTTCTCAAATCTTGAAATAGCCACTCTGATAACCCCCATGAAAACCCACTCTCTGGCCAGTCCTGGAGGCCCAGCTCAAACGACATCTTGTTAAAGGAGCCTTCTGAGATCCCCAGGCAGAGGGCCCTCTGGCTCCTCTGGGCCCAGCGCACAACAGGGTCTGACCCTAAGACCAGGACACAGGCCTGTGGCCATTCCTGTTCACATACAGGACTTACTAACCCCTCTCCAGGTCCCTCTCAGTGTGGGGTGTCTTCTGGAGGCCCTCAAGGCCTACCCCAGCGTCTGGACTAGACAACCTTCATCAACTCTTGGCCAATTTAACTACTACTACTCTCTCTACCAACTCCAGAAAAGTCACTCTTAGAAATACTGGTGGCAGAGGACATGGCCTAAACTGGAGCCCTCCCCAAAGCCTACTTGCCTGCTTCTGGAGGTATCCTCATATTTCTGACCTCAGCCTGTCTCTACATTTAGGCCTTGCCCCTGCCCTCACCTCC